AGGGGAACGATCGACCTCAACCGATCGGCCACGTACGTCCCTAATATCTTGCTTTATATACGATATCAATATCTGTTCTTGCGGCAATCATAACACTTTTTTCTCAAAAAAAATAAAATAGTGAAAAACAGAATCCCTAAAGAAAGCCCAACTCGGCAAATTTGTAAAATGTTGCAGGCTCGGTTTGATTGAGCCTGAATAGCATAAGGTATATACTTAAGTGACTTAAGTTATACAAAAAGTAGTATATGAAAACTTACCTTTATAACTGCAGTATAATATCCACACAATCTTTACATAATATACCTTCAGTTTTATAGATCTATTCATTTTCAGAGGTTCTTTAAACATATGTATATAAAGATTATTGAATAGGAAGTCAAATCTTTTTCTTGTACATCATGTATTTTTTATCACTATCACTTGTACTCAAAAGCATTTTTTAACTTCCCTTAATACTTTGAAAGTACTTCAGATCAAATTAACAATGCATGTTATGTTTAAAAAAAAATAATACATCATCGGTTTATAAACATAATCATTCCACCTTTTCTGTAACGTTTACATCGTTAATTATGAAGATTATAGCATAAAGTTTAAAGGTTTAAATCGTTTAAGGTTCCGGCAGAATCGGCTAGCCAGAGAAGACACAGTAAAACCTGTGCAAAGGAACATTGGTTTATTCCATAATGTAGTTTAAAATTACTTATCACATCTGCCCTGAAAATATAGAGAAAAAAAACCGACAACAGATTACATATAATAACATATGTGTCTTTTCGTGCATGGTGTATCCAAGTGTCCGCTAATGTAGGTTTGTCCGTCGCGAATACTCTCGTATTTTTGAGCCGAAAAATCGTAAAATAAATGATAATTTCAGCTCATATCTCACAAGTTCCGGCTAGCCCCTGTGACACACAACATCAATGCCATAGAACCCCATATTCTGGGATTGTAAGGGGGGTCTGACCGTGTGTCCGCTGGTATAGATGTGTCCGTCCGGAATACTGTGGTATGTTGCAGACGTTGAGCCTATAAATGAAAATTGTGGAATATAATTAAAAGTAAACATTGTGAAGTGAACAAAGAAAGTAATTTACACATTACAAACGGGACTTGCAATCCACGTTAGTAATAAAAAGAGGTCAAAATATGCAAAAAATATCTCTTACTGTATGAGTCTTTGTTTGTTTGGATATTTACGGCACGTCAACACATAACTTGCCATATCGTGCCGAATGCTATAATATGCTTAAAATGTTATGTTAAACTTTGTAAATGACAATAAAAAATGAGCCAATTTAGATCCTAGAATACAAGTTTTTCTCTTTCAAATAATCAATGATGTTTTTTGATGGAATTGTATTAAAGAGTTCTTTGAGTGAATTTACACAATAAAATCTATTACGGACCTGTGAAAAATCATGACATTGAAGAAGAAAATGCTTGACAGTAAATTTTTTCTTTGCAAGCTAAACAGAAAGGGGCATTGTCATTCGTGAGGAGATAAGAGTGGGTAATTTTAGTGTGTCCAATTCGGCTTCGAAGAAGAACTGTTTGATCATGGCGGTTTGACAGAGATAGAGATGGTGACACATTAAGAGATGGGTTTATATCGTGAAGTTTATTAAAAAAGGCATTGCCCCAATTTGCTTTCCATTAATATGTTAGGAGTTTATTTATAGCCGGTCTAAAATCACAAGCAGGTAACAATAAGTCAGTTTTTTTTTAAATTTAATGATTGTTTAGCTAAAGCATCTGCTTTTTCATTTCCTCGTATACCTACATGACTTGGAATCCAATATAATTTAACAAATTTTGTTTTAAGTATATCATGAAATCGTAAAAGAAGTTTCCTTATAATGATATTGTCAGATTTTTCTTTCTTTTAATGGATATTAAAACAGAAAGCGAGTCAGAAAATATCACAAATTTATCATGGGTATGCTGTACTATGTATGACAATGTTAAATCTATCGCTTTTGCTTCAGCAGTAAAACTTATTGCATTATCTGGTAACCTCATACTAGATGTAAAATTATTTTCAAACACACCCGCACCTACTTTGCAACCTTCTTTTGAACCGTCCGTATAAATATGTATAAAATCTTCATGTTCTTCCTTAATTGCTTAAAACTTCTCTTTGAAATGTTCAGGTGAATTTGATGACTTTTTATATATTTGAGGTTCATATTTATTTTCGGGGAATTATAAGTTCAAGGTGGAATATCCTCAACGGCTCAATTACTACGTGTATTTTGCTACACAAGGTGTCCGTTCTCTATATTAAAGGCGTTCCTTTATCTTTAGAATAATGACCAGGGTCTATAACAATAATTTTGGTTAATTTTGTTTTCATTATGCCAAAACAGTTTTGCTGCTGTATTATCGCAAAAAATCACTTTTTATAAAACAATTAAACGACATACACTCATGATTAATATAGATGATAAAATATTTTAAGATTTATCCATTAGAAAGCGTTTATATTTTTATTTGAAGGGCTGTATTGAGGTACTTGACTTAAGCTGCTAATCATAATGCGGGAAATAAAATACTTTTTTGTAGTTTATGTATTATTCTTCCTATTATTTTGAAGGATACTGTCTGGATTAATTTTAAGTTTATCTAAATCATCTTTTAAACGAAGTTTAAAGGGTTATTACTCATTACGGTGTTTCCGCAATCGACAAAAATGAACACATTTAGTTTTTGACTTTAAAAATTTAAAACCGTTTTCTATTGCCCACTTTTGAATTTTGTCTAAATTTTGTTGAAGTTGCCTTTCAATTGTTCTCATACTTTTCGATCGATAGCAGATAAGAAAATCGTCTACATATAGAGAACAATCTATGCCTGGCGTAAGAGCGCTAGCAATATTGTTTATTTTAAGGCCAAAAAGTGTAACAGAAAGTATGATTCCTTAAGGAACACCTTGTTCTTGTTGGTGGTCCTCAGAAAAGTTGAACCAAGTCTTACTTTAAAGTGCCTATCAATTAGAAATCCAGAAATGAAAAGAAGAAGCGTGCCTTTAAGTCCAGCATCCGTTAGATCTTTTTTCCAAGTAGTATCGTAAGCCTTCTCAAGATCAAAGAAAATTGATACCAGGTGTTGTTTATTTACAAAGGCTTCTCTAATAAAAGTTTCAAGTTGTACAAGATGATCGTTTGTACTTCGCCGTTTACGAAAACCTGACTGAGATTAGTGATAATTCCATTATTTTCTAGAAACCGAAGTAACCGATTATTTATCATTCTCGAATGTTTTGCAGAGGCAACTTGTTAATTTGTAGGGTCAGTTGACTTTTTTCCAGGTTTAGGGATAGGAATAACCAACGCAATTTTCCAAGTTTTGGGAAATTTACCACATACCCAAATTTTGTTAAAAATTTCGAGAAGCAAGTCAAGAGATTGTGGTGGTAAATGTTTAAAAAACTGGTAGTAAATTTCGCCCGGACCTGCAGCACTATCTTTTGCAGTTTTGATTGAATAAATTAAGTCATCAATAGAGAAAAGGGAATTATAGTCTTCATCGTTTGTTGAAGTAAAATTAATATGCTCTTTCTCAGCTTTACATTTATGTTGTTGAAATTCATTTGAATAATGTATAAGTCACGCAGTAGAAATATTTTAAATCAGTCAATCGTACAGACTAATGTAACAGTGTTACTTAAATTTTTGAATCTTTTTAATTTTCTTAAAGTCTTATTGAGATATATGTTTGATGGTAGAAAACATTTATCCTAAGTCTGAAATGAATTCTAAGTCCATTCCCATTAAACTATATAATAATATATAGACAAGGGTAACAACTCCCATAAAAAAGGTGTCTATGCCCAAACAGGGTTTTTGCCTCGCAGTTTTTTATACGATACAGAATAAATAAAAAGGAATTATGCAATATGTAGTCGAATAATTTATCTATCGAATCAATGTAAAGCTTGTCTTATCTTGAACGAGTACTGGCCGCTAAAGTAGCAAAAACCTATTCATTTGCGCGAGGTCGACATCGATCGTGGCTGCGCATGAAAAAACACAAAGCTTCACGACTATGGCAATCGTTAGAGATAATATCACAATCATTTATCATGCTGGGCAATAAAAAATACATAAAAGTAAAATATTCCAATAGCCTGTAATGAAAATTTGATATAAAGTCACCTGCAGCTTCAGTATACGCTGTGGTATAACTTATTTAAAATGTGTTTAGTCGTAAAATTTACATTCTCTGACTTCTTCAATATATCGATAGGCTTAAGACCGGGACAGTATAATTCTCTAGCACATTTGCAATTTTTAAGAGAATCTTGGTTTAGTACTGCAAAAACTGAGGACTCAAGTAAATAAGAACAATGTTAGAACTGTTGTTTTCCGTCAAGGGGGGGGGGTAATAATAACGAACAAATTAAAGTTATGAACGAATTTAGTTATCTAAGGGTGCATGGGGTGGTTTTGTTTTAAAGTAGAGAAAGGTTTAAAAACTATGAGCAATTTATTGGACAGATTAACAAATTTCATTTGTATCCTCACGTTTCACAATAATTATTTGATGCCTTTGTTAGCTCAATATTTAATTGTGTCCTTTTGGGGTTTTTGCTAAATCTAAAGATACTGAAAGGGTAAAACAATGTGCTTGTATGCGGTGTATATCGAAATATGGAGATATCCCTTTTACATCAACAGATACAGATACAAACATATCATTAAATTTTGGCTGAAACATGTTATTGCTGATAATATAATGGAAAAAGAATCTTATAGATATACAGTTAGAAATTATTGATAGTGTAAAAAATTGGGCTCAAATTGTAAAGTTCATATTAAATGAATTCGACTACATGTATTCTTATGCGTGGAAGAACCAATTAAATATCAAAAGTAGTTTCTTTAAGTGTTATTATTTGTTTAAAAAACAAACGTTGCATTCTTACAAAGGAAACAATATCAAACTAAACACTTGATATAGTTATATCAAAACATGTTTGGAAACATATTTAAAAAATCATTGATTGCAGAGTATACATATGTATATTTGAAGAATTAGAATATCTGCTTATAACTTAAGCATTGAAACCTGGTGATACGGACATAATTGAGCACAAAAAAATGAAAGATTATGTCAACTATGTACCTCACAAGTAATAGAAGATGATTGACATTTTATTCCAGTATCTCTATGTTATCAAGTTATCCGAAGAGGATTTATCAAGCGTTTTAACTAGACCTTGTATGAATAAATAAGAAGATTTATTACAATCAGAAGATAAAGCTAAATTTAGGGAAATATAATGATGTAACCAATGAAAAGAGACAAGAACTGTTACTAAAGATGTGGACAAATGAAACCTCGATCTTATAGCTTATTGATTAATTAAACAGCTAGATGGACACATCTCGGTTTGTAAACTTTGTGAGGGGATTATTCAAAACAGAACTGGACACGCTCTCCCTCTCATTGTTCAAAAACTGTTGATATTATATATAAGAAAACCAATGACCCCCAAACCAGGACCATTTTGACCCAAGTACTGAAATTTGAGCAAACTAAGTAGAAGTCCACTTGACGATATTTCATGCAAAATATCTAATCTCTTACAATAATCAATAGTATATGAACGTATCGGCTTTCTGAGATTGTTAGATTGAATCATTAAAAATTAAAACAAAACTACACATTGTATATAGGTAACTATTAAAGTACTCTGAATGTAACTGGCTTACTTTTATAATTCATCTATTCAAATAAAAATTATTTACTTTGTGATAATCTTTAAATGTAAATGCCATTTTAAACCGGGACAGAAAGATACATTATCAGTCCCAGGTTTAAAGCATATTAAGCAAATGCAAGAGAAAAAAAACAAAAGAATACAGCAGTTAGTTTACATTTAATTTAAGTAACACAAAGGTGAAAAATGAATAAAAGAATGAATTATTAGGACAAAAATGATAGAGAAAGTAAGAAGAATACATCAGAGGGAGACATGTGAATGAAAGTCACTTAAACTTCTTTTGAGTGGATCGCGTTTTTCTAGTATAGTTTTTTTAATCATTCGTCTGATTTCACTGCCATTGTACGAAGAATACCTTCTATTGTTTCATAGATAAGATCGTACTCTTTTACATTTCCTTTACACGGCTTACCAAGCTCAGTGACTTCCCAGTTACCGTCATCATTTCGAGAAACACTACACATAAGGAGAGCCTGCAGAGAATCTTTCTTGGTTTGGAAAGTTCTTTCACACAAACATTGCGACGGTTTTCCTTTCTTGTATAACTTAATACTTGGACCTTTAAAAGCTGATATATCTTTTGAGTTGAAAGTGCTGAGAGAGAAAAAAATATTTTGTGCGTCACTTGGTATTTTTTTCAGTGAAACTTCGATTGTCTGGTGTCCTTTTTTCATTTTTTCGTCCATTTTATGACCGGAATGTTTTATCCAATTTTTAGGACTTTGCATTCTTTCGTCACATAGATATTGAAACTCTTCAGAACCATAAACAAAACATGATACATCCAGGAAATCACGATTTCTTTCCATTTTGCTTTTCGAGTGATACTCCCAAGATAAATAAAACACAACCTCGTCTAATTCATTAGGAAAAGTATATAGACGGATAATCAGATATAACGCGGTATTCGCCTTTATTCCAAAATGTGAAAGTGTCGTAATCTTTTGCCCTTTGTAATTCTGTAAAGGCAAAATAATTCATAATAATGTTAGAATAATTTTTACACGGTTGTTAATATTCAGAGTAAATGTGTAGATTTTAGTTAAAGGGATTCAATTGATTTTTTTTTTGACATGACAGGACTAGAAATAAATTTTCGAGATTTCCATTTGATGAAGATTTAGACTAATAAATTGAGTGCAATGTCCAAAAAGATCATTTGCTGACTCAGTTTTTCCTGAATAATTAGGTGAACTGTGAAAAAGACCCAAAACTGAAAAGCGTTGCAACGCTTTTCACTCAACTCGGGCTATGAATTTCACAAAAGTACGATTTATTTTCAATTTATTTCTCGGTATAACTCATAATCATCGTTAGCATATCTATATATATTCTTTAAAGTGCCTCAGCTAATATAAGCAAGTTTGAAAAATTTGTGTTTTAGGACTTTGGACCTCAGTAGTGTTTCTTTAAAATAAATGAGCAGTGTCATGACAAAACCAACATAGTGCGTTTGCGACCAGCATCGATTCAGACCAGCCTGCGCATCCGCGCAGTCTGATCAGGATCCATGCTGTTCGCTTACAAACCATATTACAATTACAGAAACTGATAGCGAACAGCATGGATCCTGATCAGACTGCGCGGAAGCGCAGGCTGGTCTGGATCCATGCTGGTCGCAAACCCACTATGTTGGTTTTGTTGCGACGCGACTCAAATATATTTTAATTAGGCCACCATTTTCGGATCATATTTGCTACAAGTTAAGTACTACTTGACTGAAATTGTTATTGATACATCAGTTCTAAAATGTTCACTTTGATATTATGTACAAGAGATGTATTATATATTTATTAATTTATATAGGCTATAACTATAATCAATATATAATTTAATTTCATAATTTGTTTGCACCATGTCAGACGTATAATACGTCTAAAGTTTCAGTCACAAGTCATAATTAAGGTAATACGGTAGAAGAAAATCCTACTCAATATAAATAAAGACTTACCTTAAGCTCTGTGTTTTGATACAACAGTTTTTGCTTCTCAAATGGGTACTTTTCTTTTGCAGCAATCTTAGATTTCAAATCAATTATAGTCATGGAAGAGTCATAGGCAACATAAATGGAGTGACCTGTTAAGGTAATGATTGTAATGTAGCCATTTACAGAATCCTTTGGTGTATCAATGTGCTCCTCTGGTACTTCCTCATATTCCTTGAACATTGTGTTAACCATTGCTCGGAAGAAGTTAAGTTTCGAATCATCCTCTTTCACATCTTGATTACATCCAGGATATGGACACTTGTTTGTTTTCTCAACATGACTTATCGTGCACTAAAATAAAAATAAAAATAGTTTGAAACAATAACGTTTTCTGAAACTACCGGTTCAAATACCATTTTCTGTCAATTATATATCATGGCGAAAGACTATAAATTTGAATGCAAAATGTGAACCATTGCTGCGACTTTTCTAATCTTTATGAACAAACTAATTAAATAAATGACTGAACTGTGAATAAAACCTATGTTGTGCCATTTGAACCTTTAAAGTAAACGTTCTTCCACCGAAATTGTTGAGGGTCATGTTATTTGTTATTTTATATGGAAATGCCAACAAATAAAGCTTTTACACTTTTTGTCATTAGCTAGGATTTTCGTTTTACGTTTAAAGCTTTTTCAAAAACTTCTTCTGACGGATCGTTTGCGCTTTTACATCTATGAGGTTTATGATTACATATGATATACGAATTTGTAAGTGAGTTATAAACCACCAGAAAGGTACAAGGTTCATTATCATTATTAATTCATCACAAGCTCTAACACTGGAAATAATATTGTAATAATATGCGCCAGTTACAGCTGTTTGAAGGCATAGGTATGTTTGTGATAAAGGAAGTTGTGGTGTTTGCAAAAACAAATGTGCAAAAACCAAGGAGTTACTTGTTCCCGATATTTATCGAGGTTCAACATACCAAAGTTGAAGAATTGCATTTCGTTATTGAAAATTAACAAATTTTGCTAAAGGAATACTAATTAGCAAATATGTATCATTTGAAATGTTGTTTTTTATAGACAAAATCATTGACTATGCTGCATTTGACTAACTAATGAACGAGTGTGAAAAGTTTGTCTAGCGTAAAGAACAAAAAGGCTACACAATTTCAATAAAGATTCGGTTGCAGTAATATGATGAATTGTAAATTATTTCTGAACAGACACATCCATGTCGGACTTTGTATGCTGAATTTCTGCAAAATTTACTTGTTTCAAACATGAAAAATATACATTTCTGCGTGTTTTAGAGTTAAACGCACATATTTAACTCATGTGTAATTTCTGGCAAAGTGCTGTACACCCATTTTTTATGTTACCCCCACAATAACAGGCTCAGAAGACTCAGATCCGGGCGGGGAGTAGGCGGTCATTCCCTGTCAGTTCTGTAGGAAATAAACTTGTCTTTAAATATTTTCGATAGCCTTTCAAGAACATCTATTTCTGTGTTTTGTATGGCGCGATCCATTTATCTCCATAGCAAATACCCATCCATCTGATTGCTGACACGAATTTCTTCTTCAAAATGTCCAGATCGCGGTCATTATTTACAATGTCAGCATTACCCTAGTCATCTTCAAAGAAGAAAGGTCCAAAAATACCGTATGCACTGAATGCATCCGATGGCGTAGCTCTCTCGCCGTGTTGTGGTGTCTTAATAACAAAGTCTGGTTTCTCTGTTCTTCAAAGTTAATGGTTTTGTTTTATATTCTCTGCATTTAGGTACAACTGGGCCGTGTCCGAAAATCAAATTTGTCAAAATATGGTGATGTCATTTCCTCTACTGAGCAAATGAGAGTTGGCTTGCAATATCACTTTCTGTTAAATGCTTCATTATGAAGATGTTGTAAGGTGTCAGCTTAAAATAATATCTAACGTACTAATACTGTTAAAAAATAACACAATATCAAAAAGAAAATGTGGCATTCAATGAACGTATCCCCCAGCACGACCCAACAACATAGGACTACTGGCAAATAGCCAGACAGGACACCAAACAAAAACAGGATAGGGAATTAGGGCAATGCACGTATGCGGCTTCAATTTAAATAATTCAGAATAGGAAATCATAGAAACCGACAAAGAAATAAAGAACACGATTAATTAATATGCCTACTAAAGTAAAAGGATGTAGGGGAAGGACATTAGGGCCGGGGAAGGGGGTGAAGGAAAAATTGCAACAAAACAAGGGGGGAATTAAAAATACTGACCATAGACGAGAAACACAAGTATGTCACCAAAATAGCATGTAGCAATAAACAAGACATACATCTTAGGAACATAAAGGGGGTCGCCTTTGAACGGTCAGCAGAATATGCGCTAAACCGTATCATGATGTAGGTTTAATAAAAAATCTGGAAACAAAGTGACCCCTCGGAAGCATTCATCACAAAAAAAATTCATGAAAATTGCAGACTCGGTTTGATTGAGTCTGTACATGAGGTACCGGTATAATGAAAAAGTGCAACATCCCTCACGCCCACAGCACCGGCTTGGCGGTACTCAATTCTCAACACTGAATAGTGCTGGCATCAATGATCCCGAAGGACCAGACTAATATAGTAAGTACGGGGCAACCTTTTACAGCTGCCACATAGCACTTGACACCTGCTGTTGTGAAGTATAAAATCCGGAAACAAAGTGATCTCTCGGAAGCATTATTCACAACAAAATTACATGAAAATTGCAGCCTCGGTTTGATTGAGTCTTTACATGACTGTACATAAATCTCACTCATAGCCTCGACATGTTCTTTAATCGAGACAGAGTAAATAAGCCCCCACTAAGCAAAATTGTAACAAATGTTATGGCTAAAGTGGTGAAGTAAAGCACAGAAATGCTCGTGTCGATATATATATCTATATAACTTAAACCAAATTACCATAACAAAAGTACTCAATGTCTTAAAGGAAGACAGAACAGCAAGATTATCATCTACAAGGGCCCGATGAAGCAGTGCAGAAGACGAAACTTTAAACAATTTAGTTCCAATGAGTTTAAAGAACTGTCCATCATAGAGTGTTTCGTTTTGTCCGTCAGATGTAATCAAAAAAGGAAAGCGTAGGTTTAAACTGTAAGGTTGAACATGCCTGTATGTCTTTAAAAAAGTAGGACCATAACCCCCTTTTTATAAAACGTTTACTCATTTTAGAAAAAAATCCATAATACATAATCATACGTAGTTTGTAAATCACATCTACATAGCAATCAAGTTTTCTAATCCCTGGTCGCAGAAGAGTTTTCAAATCGCTTTTGAGTTTTGAAATTAAATCGACATTACGATTATAAAATTTAGTACTGTAATTTATGAAAGCGGTAGCCCCTGATGAGGAGCTTGCTAGTATTGAAAATATTGCATAAATAAATAAATAAATAATAAAATCGATTTAATGGCTGCAAGCCCTAGCATATCTAAATAAGATGTTGCATTGGATACATCTCTATGTAATTAACAATATCAAAATCATCTCTCTTATCATAGTTTTTAAAGTGCATAGTATTGTTATCAACTGTAATATGAAGATACAAAAATGATGTAGTAAAATTTCAGGAATGCCTTTCTTTTTTGTTTTTTTTTCAGCTTAAGTTCTCATTTATATCATTTGTTTTAAAATTATCATAAAGGTATCGAATACTGCTATAATTTATTGTTGTGTATCTAGAGAGGGAGCCTCAACATATATTTAGGTCTCTTTCATAGCAATACAAAAACAGTATGCACAATTAGTATCCCTAGGAATTCCTATGATCTGTTTGAATAGGGTATTACCAAATACATAAATAAAATAAATGTTGCCTGAAAGGAAAAAAGGTGCTCTACGAACTTTGTCACAGGTTCACAAAGTAAACATTTTACAATACAATTAGTAATAAAGAAAGCCTTTGAATAAGTTACATACATACTAGAAATATGACTTTTTTACATGTTTTTTTTTTTGAGTAAGGGAAATTAGTGTATCATTTATTAGTTTATGGCATTGTTGTACAAAGGGTAAAAATGTACTGATGGTTGAGGCTTGTTGGTTGACTTTATCACAATATCTTAAAACATGTGGCTTAATGGACGTCAGAAATGACGTCAATAAAAAGTTTATTTGTAGTGCAAGAAGTAGAATTAGTAACGATTCTGGGCTTTTAAGGTGTTTCATGTAATTTAGGAATCCAATACCAAGTACATAATTGGAAGTATGTTTTTTTTTCGTCGATTCGGACATTAAATCTGGAAATATTAGTGATATGATTGTTAACAATGTATGTTTAAATGCACTAGTACCAAAACAAATTTAGAGTTAAAAGTTAAAACGTCCTTTTTACAGATATCTGACGTTTTAAGATGTTATTTTTCCATGTAAATAGATCCTTTTTATCCGCATTTTCACGGTGAGCCTTGATAGAAAATCAGCAATCTGACTACGACAAGGATTTAAATCACTTTCAGAAGGAAATCTGTTTGTATGTCTTTTCAAGAATAAGTTAAGAATTATTTTGTCTGCTATTATGTAATAATTACAAGTGGTATTATGGCCAAAATTTAAATTACAAAATTTAGATGCGTTGGACTGAATAACATTATGTTAGCCAGAAACCACTTTATTATACAATGTAATTAAATAATAATATGAATTACAGGTTTCTTATATTTAAAGCAAATAATTGGAATCCTGGAGTTTTTGAAGTTTAAAGGATATGAATCAGTAACAAGTTAACACTAAAATTACTAGATACGCCGATGAAGTTAATATCTTTATATAGAAAAGTAACTTTAATAAAATGTATGTTATGGTCAGTAATATTGTCAATATGATGTCTTAAAACATATTAACATTGAATAAGATAGGTGCACAAAGTACAAAGGATCTGTTTGACTGACGATAATATCAGCTTTTGCGTCTTAAACTTTGAGACATAATAATGCAAGAGAAGTTAAACGTGATAACAATGCATGTTTACCAGATTTTTTTAAGATATGATTTAAATCGGTGACATACATAGAAATTTTCCATTTACGTAAGACTTTCCACTATTTAGTACACGCTAATATTTAACTTTCTTTCGAGTATTTTTCTCATCTCATTTCTTACATTACTAGTTTTCTACCTGATTCAAATACTCTTTCTATGATTCTTAGTTGTTCCTGGACAGAAACTATCCACAGGTTGGTAAAATAACATGGGACTGCATTGATAAATCATTTATAAACTTAAACTTGTTGAATGAAGAACAAGCTATAAGGTCTTATCGGAATTTAGGCATCCGAATTTCGCAGTTACGAATTTAATAAATACCGCTGTCGCATGACTTTCGAACGCAGATTTGTGATCATGTAGCGATGACTTAAGAGTCGCATCAAAACTTTGGAACATGTGATCACCGCGGTGTCGTGATCGTGTCCGTTATAATGTCTTCTGCTGCATTAAATGGTCAACAAATGACCATGGGAGGTGACATCTCAACAATGTGATATACGAAAATACGCTCAACAATGCCAGAAGAAATATAGCACTGCCGTTTGGTAATATCGAGTTAACCATGAGGGACATTATGGTAATATTGTGTTAACAAAGAAGGAAATAAGTCAAATGTTATTTGCCTTGTCGTTGGTTACTTTGCATTGTCGATTGTTGTATTGTATTGAGCGATGCCACTTTGCATTGTCACTTCGGATTGTCAAGTGTGGTAGTTTGTATTTTTACTGACACGGAGACACGGACAAACTACAAAACGACCTTAAACAGGAAATGTGGTAACATGACTGGGCTATGGAGTTCTACCTCGAAAAGTGTGAGGTTCAAAATAGGAATTTACATTTCCAATTTTCAAATACACCCTCCGAAATTCAGTTGTCAATTCAGCTGAAATTGCCTAGTACCTTGAAGTAACCACCACTATAGACCTTAGCTGAATCTTAAGTGGATGAAGTATGGTGATTGTTATTCAAGGCGTACGTTACTCTACTTTAATCTAAAAATGTAGCCAAAATACTAACTAACGAATTAATACTAAACAAATAACGACTTAGACGTGCTTAACCACTTCTAAAGTATCCATGGCCTCAGATGGTTGCAAGAATGTAAATCCTTTTTTTTTCAATTATGTTTCATTGCCTGTAAAAGCCAGTGTGTGTTAAACATTTTCAAAATCCTTCAAGTTCGTTTATGATTGCTTCATTTACAAGATTTACTTGACATATACACTTAGGCATTAATTATTCCGCGGTTTCAAATATGTTCATAAAGCTTAGCACAGTACTTGGTTTCGAACCATTCAATTAGGTGGTACTTGAGATTAATTAAATACAATGCATATAGAATATCATACAATTTTGATCGCGAGAATTAATGACCAGATGCAATACAACTACCAGCAAGTAAAATGTTACTTGCAGTTTCTTAGATAAAATGATTGTTTTAAATGATGTCTGAAACTATTATGAGAAACGACAAAATTTGGCTCAAGATGGTGCTTGGGGGCATGAGGAATGTTGCACTTATTCATTATCCTTCATTTACAGACTCAATCAAACCCAGTGTGCAATTTTCATGTATTTTTTCTTTTGCTTCATGCAAATATCTAAGCCTAACACAAATATAATATGTTTGGGCATATGAAAATGTGTTGTTATAACCTTCTTTGATTTAAAGATTTTAAAATTCAGCAATTCAAAAGTGCAGGGGGTATTTTAGGTATTTTTTCCTAAGAAAAATATATCAGTCTTTCAATTAGAGAGAGAGAGAGAGAGAGACTGCCAACAATATAGGAAAACAGTATTCAAGTCCAAAGATTTCAAAAATTACCTGAAGAAATTGACATTTTATACTTATTGATAGTTAGTGAATTTACATATCTCAAGTAACATTAGTTTCAATAAATATGATTGTCTCATTTCAAAATAATTAAATCATATCAATCTATAAAAGCTACTCAATTATTATAATCTTAACAAGAAAAAGATCTAAAATATACAAGTGTGATTAAAAAAAAAATTTATAACGTAACAGATTTTGGAAAATAAAGGGAGGCAAATACATGTGTATATATTTTTGAAGAAATTCATACATTTTATTCTCCCTTTGTAATATATACACTTATATAAGGATTTTGAATAAGTCAGTGTGACATTGACCTGAAGTTGTCCAAAACTGCGCTTTGCACATCATCTCAGTAATATAAATATGTCTGCCAAAAAGATTTAATTTCATACTGTCAGTTTAAAAGAAACAGAGCGGACACAAAATTTTGAAATTAATACAAAATGATTAAGTGTGACCTGACATTGACTTGAGGAAGGTCATACCTGCTCTCTGCACATCATCTCATAATGATTTACATTTCTGCCAAGTAGTTTCAACTTCTTTCCACCAGTTCAAAAGATACAGACTGAACACAAACACTTCTATAGAAGTCTATATATCAATAAATCCACAGAGCGGAGCTAACTTTGATTATAGGAAGTCCAAATTTGTGTTTTGCACACCGTCTTAACATAAGTAATATTCCTACCAAAAAGTTTTAATCAAATTGGTTCCGAAGATAAAGAGCACACACAAAATGTTGATATTAATACAAAAGTGTGACTTTGACCTTGACCGAGTAAGGTCAAACCTCCACTCTGCAGATCGTCTCATTATGGTTATCATTTCTGCCGAGTAGTTTGAATTAGTATATAATTGTATATAAATCAAATAACCCCAGAGGTGGGGCCAATTTTTATTGTAGGAAGTCCAAACTTGTTTCTGCACACCGTCTCAATGTAAGTAATATTTTTGCTAAAATGTTTAAATATTATTTCTATCGATTCAAAAGATACAGACACTAAATTATGATATTGAAACAAAATGACTAAGCGCTGTATTGACCTTGACCTGAGAAAGGTCAAACCTGCGCTTTGCACATCGTCTCATTATGGTTAACATTTCTGCTAAGTAGTTTCAATTTCCTTCAAACGGTTATTAAATACAGACCGGATAAGAAAACCGGCTAACAGACGGACAGACGGACACCAAGGTGCATAGCAATATACGCCGAAATTCTTTTTGGAGTATAAAAAGCAAATTCACTCAACAGTTATGTATAAGGGAGATTATCATAAAACTTACAGTTGTTTTGAACACCCGGTATTTCTTAAACTTGAATGTTTTACCTGTTTAACTTGTCCACATGGCAATTGCAGGAAAATGACGTACATGGAGATAGTTTGTATTCATAAGCATGCAATGTTTTTCTTACATTTGCACTTTTGAAGTATTTTAAGCTTTTAAACTATCCCATCTGAAAATCGCATTCCATTTTTTTTTAAGTTGTTGTGTTCTATAATAGTATATTTACTTATGACTAAATAAAATTGGTGCTATATGAATTCACGTACTTTGGCCCTCCTGTGATACGCATCGGGAACCAGTAGGTAATAAAATTCGGTTCCCTTTGAAAAAATACATCGACTGCTGGCGAAGTAATATTCAAAACGTGTAAAGCACATTTTGTAAAAAATGGATTTAAGTAATATACTGGCTAGTCAATTGTAAGTAGAAAGGGTATCATGATATCCTGAATGTCATGACAAAGTCTTAAACCTATTTTGTCCAGCGTAGATAGCCTATAAATGTGTTCAATAGTTGGTAAGCTGGTTTGTCGTAATATAATAGGGGCAGGGGTGGAGGTGCTGTTTATCATTGCCGAGGGACGCATCGCATTGTCGAGTGTCACTTATCAGTTAGCATTGTTGAGAGTCGCATTAAGTTGTTAAGCGTCGTATCACATTGTCATGATATCACATCGTAATGTCGGCACTTTGACGAGACAAACGACAATATAAATGGCACGATGAGGACGCGGTTTATACACGAAGTATAATATTCCAATCGCATCTTCTCGGCCTTTTCCGTCAAACTTCGGTTACACAGAACGAATACGGTATTTCGGTGGTTAAGAAACCCAACATGTAAACAAATGGTTATTTAATGCTGGGAGTTGTTGGCCAAGTGTGTATTCTATAAGTCTACCTAAATAAGTAAATTTGTAGATATAAACGTAAAGCGTTCATTATTTATATGCAAAATTGTACTTATTTTTATGGTTGTAGAAACCAAAAATACAAAATATTTACTGGTTGACATTAGTTTGAATGTGTCTATAATTCTATATAAGTTGGTATTTTTAAATTGATTATGATTGTCACATTTGGTCTTCAATCATAAATTTAGCGAAAGAGTTTATTTTCCTTTGTATGTCAAAAATACACTTCCGTTATACATAATCACAGATTACATGGCCTGTGTTGTTTACACATAAAACCACGTGGTAGAACTACTTTCAATCCGTATTAAGTCCGAGGTTATTTTTGATAATAGCTGATAGTATTTTTGCTAAACTTAGTAACATAGTATGGAAATTCCGACCTAAAAGTAGTAACAGAAAATGGAAATTCCGATCTAAAAATAGGCTTTGCAAACAATAAAAAATGTTCCAAATCTTTCTTATTTTACGCCCGGCCCTTACCTCTTGGTGTGCTGCATAATTGGCATATTAGTCGGAAGTCAAAAAAGTTTTAAAGCTGCTACAGAAACTGTTACATATTTAACTGTACGGATGTCATTCCTTGATGCTGTGATCTTAACTTACAATACACATTTAAATTCATAATTAACTCGTAAATATAATTGCAAAATAAAACATACCCTTAAGCAGATAACTGGTGCGTGCTCACATTCTTCTGCGATTGTGTAAGGCGGAAATTCGTTAGGTAATTTCTTGACTGAGCATACCATGCAATTCATTTTCAAACACGTTTGTTCTTGAGATAAACAGATTTGCCATATATAATCTACGATGTTCCGTTAGGGCTATCGTTATGATAACAAATTATGAAACGCGAAAAGTCGAAAACACGAAGATACGAAGACGAAAACATGAAGGGACGAAGACGAGAACACAAAGGGAAGAGAATGCACAAACACGTAAACGCGTAGGGAATACGAGGAAAATTTGAAGACATGATTACATAAAAACACGAAAACTCGGCAAATTCAAGTCGATATTTATCGCGTTTTCGTCATCGTGTCTTCGCGTTTTTATCCTTTCGTGTTTTTATGGTTTCGCCCCTGCATGTTTCGCGTTTCCGTCCACGTCGCTTTGCTTTTAAGCGGTTTCTTTCTATCGCTTTTTCGTCTTCGTGCCTTTGTGTTTCCTTTTTTTCGCCTATGTGTAGAAAAGTATATTTGTTTTACAATGATCGAGTCAATTTCTATATTACTTGAGCACATACCGGTAGTAGCATCCAACACAACACAACATTCTACTTACAACATGGGTTAAGGAAAAAACGTCATGTGAAACTCAGCTGCTAGAAAAACGTAGAAGACCTATCTTAATACAAGGGCAACATACTGATTAAGTCCTTTTAGATTTCTTGAAAGCGTTTGATAACCATCTCAGACTCCTATACAAACTATATCAACACGGCGTCCAAGGCAACACATTGCAATGGGTCAAATCATTCTTGATAGGTCGCCGCCAGTCCGTTATAGTAGATGGGGAACGTCAGATGATGTCCTCGTAACATCTGGCACCCCAAGGCTCTGTCCTAGGTCCCATCTTTTCTGTTACATATAAATGAACTGCCTGAAAATATAGTTTCAGAGGTCTTGTTATTTTCCGATGACACTGCTGTCAATAACTATTCCCAAGAAAGGGTCTTACAACAAGACCTTGAGAGGTTACAGTTATGGGAAAGCAATTGAGACATGGAGCTCAACCCCTCTAATTGTACTGTGCTAAATATCACCAGGTCAAAACACTCATTTAAGTCAGTATATTCACTCCATGGCCAAGTCCTAGAAAATGTCAATGATGCAAAGAACCTGGGTGTCACTTTCTCCTCTGATCTAAATTGGAAAAGTCAGGTTACCTCTAAGGCTTGTAACATTCGAAACTTTCTTTAAAGATCCCCTCCTAAAAGTTCAAGCGTAAGGGAGTTTGCATACAAAACTCTTGTTTGATCCCAGCTTGAATATGCCAGTAATGTCTGGTGTCCTCACACTCAGCAGAACATCCACAAAGTTGAAATGGTCGCGATGGGTTACTAAGGACTCTTCTACATACAGCAGTGTCTCACTTTTGTTCGATAAGTCAGGTTTGCGTTTCCTGTAAAAAGGATTACTGATGCCACACTCCTAATGTTTTACAAGATTTTGCATGGACTGGTTGCAGTGCCCATACGCCCTTACGTTCCGCCCTCCCTCCGTCACACCCAACACTCGCATCTTTTTTCGTTCAGGCAGATCGTCACTCTATGTAACTTCTACAAATATTCCTTCTTTCCAGCAACAATAGTCCTTTGGAACTCACTGCCATCTGAACTTGTGCAGGTCCATACTCTGGACCAATTTAAACAGGGAGTGACCACTCTTCCCCATCGCGTTTAAAATGAAAGACATTATGTTTATCTGTTTAAGCTGTATATTTTCTATTCTTAACTAACACTATCATCTTTTCATTTCAACTCTCACAAATACATGTGTACAGATTTACTTTTAATCTCATTTACATCATTACTTTTAAAATCCCGCATAGACACGCACATGCATATAATATTCGAAAGGGGTGTTGCTGTACTTATAGATAGTTCTTTAAAATAGTGTTTTGAATTTCAACCATGTTATGACTAAAAAATCCGTCTTTTCATTCGTTAAAAAATGTCAAACATGTGTTTTCAAATGTTTAAATAATCAATTTATGACATCTTAGATGTAAAAAATCTAAAACATGTAGCCCTAAACATGGACAAATGTGTCACAAAGGAAGCGAAATATGAAGTAGTATTTGGACTTCCATACAAAATACCCATTCACTATGATCATATCAATTGCTAAACAACCTAAAGAAGCAAAACACTGTTCATCTTTACGACAAATGAGTAATTTTTGGAAACCGTTATAACATACTAAGAATAAAACGTCTACAGTGGGTTGTAATTTTGCAAAGATTCGACTCTTTCTTGTGCAGCAGTATTCAATGGAATCTCGGTGGTTCTATTCAGGTATCCGCATGTACCTGAAACGAAGGCAAACCTGAATCTTCCTTACCAATAAAGCTGGAAGTCACCATTATGATATTGACTTAAGAACGAGCCGAAAAGAAGGGAGAGAAAAAAAGAAAGAGGAAAGGCGGAGTCTTTTTTTACATTATCTTTAGAAGAAAGATCAGGATCTTTGACAGTCATATCAGTTGCTTAAATGTTTAGTTTCTTAGCTAAATTCTAAGTATCGTGTTCGATTTCTCATACGAAGTTTGACGGAAATGACTGAGAAGGGCCTGTCTGGACTTACTCGGGAGGGTGCGGTCAACGCTCCCTCAGTGGCAGTAAAACATCGACCGGTGCGCAGGAGAGTAGGGTTGGTCCTGCTAAGGGTCGTTTTGAAAGAAATGGCTTTGATATAGTTGTTTCCGCCTACAACTACCACCAACGAACGGTGAAATAATATAGAATGACAGTTTATGTATGAATAGTCGCCACAGATGATGTACTCCATTATTTATCCCGGCCAGTTACAAATCAACCTTGATACAAACAAACGCGTATCAAAGAAACCCTTGAAAAAAATTAGGCATACATTTTAAATGTTGTCTGTTCATAGTAATAGGGAACGAAAATGTGATTTCCGCTGTAGTTTACTATGGAGGCTATTCGTTGCCAAAAACCCAGCCTTTGAAACTTGACAATGCATACTTCGGTTCTACTAAACAGACTAGTAAAATCTAATTGTAAATCCGAGAGTTACATACTGCACTGGTATTAAGCAGTTTGACTATCTCGATTAGATTAAATGGTAGCTGTAAACATGCAACTTAGATAAATTGCAAACTGTATTGAAAAATGTATAACTTCAAATTTGCGACATGTAGAAATGTAAACGATAGAACGTACACAACTCGTTTAATGCTGTGCATTATGACGTTGAGAATGTAACTGCATCTGTTGACACTCTAAGGTTGACAACACCACACTTACATTTTACATTCTAACGCGATTAACATTTGTAAACGATTTTGCAACTTCCATATATGGAATTATCACGGAAATACACGAAAATTAATAGGCGGAGCCAATTTTCAAGAAAGCAGAGTATAAAGAGAGGTAACTCTTGCTGGTTCAAAAATATTTCAAATTATATAAAACTGTTCCACATACATCATCTGCATTATAGTTGACTTTGAATATCCTCGGATTTTGTTAAAATGTATTCTAGTACAGGATATTCAAGTAATGCAAAATTGTTTAAGATGTAATGTAACAATGTAACAACGTGTATACTGATAATGAGCATAATAATATGCAAAAACTAAAGTTGGTGAATTAACATAAGGGAATGTTTCCACAAACCACTTGTGTCTAACATTGGGTCTTTGTGCCTTCAAACGGTAGTACGCGAACGCATGTCTTTTTACATTCTGTAAACAGTACTAGAAAGCAACACGAATAAAGAGAACTGAACAGTAAGACTGTGCTTCTTTCTTTAAAGGACTACATTTGGAAAAAAACCCAAATTTTGACCAAATGTATAACCACGGAAGTCTTCAAAGTTCACTATCGATAATTCCGTTATATAACAAATTATAATGTTGAAATAAATATTCAGTGTATCCTAGCATCTCTGTTTACCTTCAATGGGAGGTATTGTGAGTCATAGGATTTGATTTATCATTTTATTATTAAATATATGTAAGCTGACGTAGGTAACGCTCCTCTTTTATGTATTGTACTGAGTCAATAATAGCTCTAAAACATGTGTATACATGCTGTCAATAGCCGTTACCTAGACTTGCTGTTTACCTGATCGATCAAAAGCAAAGAACTGTTTTTATGTACATGAAATACTAGACAGAATATTTATTTAAGTTTTGTAAGTGATAGATTGCTTAGAGATAAAAGAAACAATGTATACATAAATTAATAATCAACATAAATACCTTTGGACTCATTTAAAATTTAAATATTATTATTGAAAAAAATGGTAAAAATGGGAAAATATCTATACAGTATGGTAAAGATAAAACGTTATGTACGAGAGGGTTATACAACTTTTGTATTAAGATTACTTTTCTTAAAAGAATTTTTCTTGTCAAGTCATACGCTAGAATTAAGGTTACTAATGTAATAGTAAATGCTACTACTAGGAAAGACAACAGCCAGAATTTGGTTTGTATTGGTATTTTAGTCGTATCAAAATCTCTATCATATGTTGACTTGAAAATTTGAAAGTGGTTAGGAAGCAGATTTACTGTCAATGTTACTAATTCCTATGCTAATTAGAATCCCCTCAGTAAAATTTATTTGTCGTTGAATATAGTCTTATCAATAGCTTTTACTTCCTTAAAAATACTTAACCTCAGACAGTAAGTAATCTGGTGAGTTTTTTATGTTATTGTTTTTAGTTTCTTTTTCTAGGAAATGTAGTATCTACAACGTTTCAAACCTTATATGCCTATAATCATTTTAAGTCCGCTGATGTTGATGGAATAAAAACATACAATTGCAATCATGCAAGTGAATTATGTTTGGCGAATAACTAAACACCTTAAAGTTCTGGTAAACGGAAACTATGCCGGTGCGTGTTCTTGTTTCCTTCTTGTCGCTGACGTTAAATACCGAAATGAGCGGATAAGTACGTTTATTTACGATGATGTAGTGGGCGGGAAAATGGGCGGAGCTTATTTTATCTGTAAAGCTAAATTATGCTGATCTGAATCATGATGGTTTGACAATGTAAAGCTAAGAAAGTAACTTCTGTTTTGTCGGCGTATACACGAACAATGAGTATTCCGCAT